CTTATGTAGTCGTGGAAGACTCCGCCGGAGTGATTGAGATTGGGCACTGTGATGTAGTATTTCGCTCTGCTGGGATGATGCTGATTGGGCACTGCATTGATAGTTCGTCGTCGGGGTTAATGTTATCTTCTAAAATATCAACCCTACTGTTATTATTTGTTTCGCGAGGGTTAAAAGTGTTGTAGTCATGTTTTAAGTTGTTAAATGAGTCAGAAATAATTCGCTATCCATTCCCAATCACTAATATCGGAGATATCCGAGGGAATGATCATAGACTCGTCCGAAGCGAGGTAATCTGGTAAAATTTTTGTCTTCTTGAATCGAGGAGGCTGTCTTCGAGAAGACTTTAAGGAGGGTCTCGACACTCGTGTCCTTGTGTTGTTATCTGAGGATCCCAATTCTGTTTGAACTCTGGTCCTGGGTTGTTGTTTTCGGGGTTTAAGTTGTCTTCTGGGTTTCTCGCGTTTCTGACCTACTTCAACGATATGATTAAGAAAGTAGGGAAATGAAATGTTGCCTTTAAAAGGTCTGGTTTTTGAAGAATTTGATTTAGGAATGGCAATATCTGATTTTCTGATTATTTTTCCGTCTGATATCTTTACAGTCGAACAAGACGTGTTTATGATCTTTTTGTTTCGTTCCTTATAAAACGGGTTTCAATCGATGCTCCCATACGTTTTTCGCAGGATTTTATCTTTAAACGGACTTTGAAGCGGTAATCTAGAGGTGGAGAGTTTTGAAGTGGATGGGTAGTCTGTATCGTATCCCTTCTCTGCAGGTGTCAAGTTTTTCTTGGAGATCAGTGTATCTTTGTATCCATCTTCCACTCTGTCGTCCGCATTCCAGTCCTTTGCTCTTTCTTTAGAGAGTATAGATTTTCCTTTGTCTAAAAATCCATTGGATGGTTTACCAGAAGCCAGTTGTTTCCAAATAGTATTTATTTTCTTTTGACAATTAATTCATTATGAGATTTGTGTACGGTTGGTTGGTTGGATTTAAAATTGTTTGATAGTTTTGAATGGTTTAAAATTCCCTTTTCGCTGAGTGACACATTTAGTGCTTCTCGCTGAGGTAGTTTTTCGGTCAGGAGTTTTCGTTGTATGTCATAATTTTTCATGTTATTTATGAAGATGTCCCTGATCCATTCATTCTTCCTCTCCCGCGGCTATGTCACACTTTTTAGCCAATTTGGCCAAGGTTCCCCAAAATTGTTCGATTAATTCTCTGTCATGTTGTTTTCTGTCAAGCAATTTGTGCCTTTCAAAGGTGACGTTCGTCTTCCTGACGAAAGCGGTTGCTAATTATTCCCAAAACTCTTTGAACGAAATTTGTAGTATTTTACCTTTGTGAACTTTTCTCCAAAAATTCGTTTTCCCTCGCTTCCTATGGCTAATTACAGGATCGATCGTTGTTTTTTGTCGGCTTCTTCTTTTCTCATACCGTTAAATTTCTTGGTTTCTGATTTAATAGATGCCGTTTCCTCCTCGTCGTATCGTCTTTGTTCTTGAATGGTTCTGTCTATTCTAGATTTTATTTGGCTTTCCGATTGGTTATCCGTCGGGTTTTCTATTGTTGGTGGTTGGGGATGGTGTCTTTCCGAAAGGTTTCGTAGATTATTGATGTATATGTTTTCTTTTGCTATAATAGCTAAATGAAAGAGATCACTCCAATCATCTCAAGTAATAGGTGGGTCTACCGTATGGCTCTGCCGACATGGAGGTATTCCTCTCACGTTAGATTCGTTATTTGACTGCCATGATAAAATGTTACTTTGTTTTTCGCTGCCATTGTTGTCCAGTATGATCGGATTCGATGCCGAACCAGAGGTCACTTGAGGTAAATCCACAACATCTATGAAGTATCTCTTACCATAGAATTTTGGCGGACCTACATTTCTACTAGACCGGAGAATAATAGGTGGATCGTTACCAAGTTTAGGTGGGGACTATAAAGTAGATATGGCCTGGTCTGATGAATCCACTATCTTGTAGACTGGAAAGTTAGTTATACAATCCTCCTCCAGTGATGTGGCCGAGTTGTTTTTGGTGTCATTTACTTATTTACTTATGTAGTCGTGGAAGACTCCGCCGGAGTGATTGAGATTGGGCACTGTGATGTAGTATTTCGCTCTGCTGGGATGATGCTGATTGGGCACTGCATTGATAGTTCGTCGTCGGGGTTAATGTTATCTTCTAAAATATCAACCCTACTGTTATTATTTGTTTCGCGAGGGTTAAAAGTGTTGTAGTCATGTTTTAAGTTGTTAAATGAGTCAGAAATAATTCGCTATCCATTCCCAATCACTAATATCGGAGATATCCGAGGGAATGATCATAGACTCGTCCGAAGCGAGGTAATCTGGTAAAATTTTTGTCTTCTTGAATCGAGGAGGCTGTCTTCGAGAAGACTTTAAGGAGGGTCTCGACACTCGTGTCCTTGTGTTGTTATCTGAGGATCCCAATTCTGTTTGAACTCTGGTCCTGGGTTGTTGTTTTCGGGGTTTAAGTTGTCTTCTGGGTTTCTCGCGTTTCTGACCTACTTCAACGATATGATTAAGAAAGTAGGGAAATGAAATGTTGCCTTTAAAAGGTCTGGTTTTTGAAGAATTTGATTTAGGAATGGCAATATCTGATTTTCTGATTATTTTTCCGTCTGATATCTTTACAGTCGAACAAGACGTGTTTATGATCTTTTTGTTTCGTTCCTTATAAAACGGGTTTCAATCGATGCTCCCATACGTTTTTCGCAGGATTTTATCTTTAAACGGACTTTGAAGCGGTAATCTAGAGGTGGAGAGTTTTGAAGTGGATGGGTAGTCTGTATCGTATCCCTTCTCTGCAGGTGTCAAGTTTTTCTTGGAGATCAGTGTATCTTTGTATCCATCTTCCACTCTGTCGTCCGCATTCCAGTCCTTTGCTCTTTCTTTAGAGAGTATAGATTTTCCTTTGTCTAAAAATCCATTGGATGGTTTACCAGAAGCCAGTTGTTTCCAAATAGTATTTATTTTCTTTTGACAATTAATTCATTATGAGATTTGTGTACGGTTGGTTGGTTGGATTTAAAATTGTTTGATAGTTTTGAATGGTTTAAAATTCCCTTTTCGCTGAGTGACACATTTAGTGCTTCTCGCTGAGGTAGTTTTTCGGTCAGGAGTTTTCGTTGTATGTCATAATTTTTCATGTTATTTATGAAGATGTCCCTGATCCATTCATTCTTCCTCTCCCGCGGCTATGTCACACTTTTTAGCCAATTTGGCCAAGGTTCCCCAAAATTGTTCGATTAATTCTCTGTCATGTTGTTTTCTGTCAAGCAATTTGTGCCTTTCAAAGGTGACGTTCGTCTTCCTGACGAAAGCGGTTGCTAATTATTCCCAAAACTCTTTGAATGAAATTTGTAGTATTTTACCTTTGTGAACTTTTCTCCAAAAATTCGTTTTCCCTCGCTTCCTAGGGCTAATTACAGGATCGATCGTTGTTTTTTGTCGGCTTCTTCTTTTCTCATACCGTTAAATTTCTTGGTTTCTGATTTAATAGATGCCGTTTCCTCCTCGTCGTATCGTCTTTGTTCTTGAATGGTTCTGTCTATTCTAGATTTTAATTGGCTTTCCGATTGGTTATCCGTCGGGTTTTCTATTGTTGGTGGTTGGGGATGGTGTCTTTCCGAAAGGTTTCGTAGATTTTTGATGTCTATGTTTTCTTTTGCTATAATAGCTAAATGAAAGAGATCACTCCAATCATCCCAAGTAATAGGTGGGTCTACCGTATGGCTCTGCCGAAATGGAGGTATTCCTCTCACGTTAGATTCGTTATTTGACTGCCTTGATAAAATGTTACTTTGTTACAGCTAACTCTACTTTATACAATTAAAAGAATAAGACAATAAAAGTGAATTAGTCTAAATTTAAAACATTAAAAAGTGAAGAGAGCATTCTCTCCGCCGGAGAGAAGGAAATAGTGAAGGTCATAAGTAAATGACCTGTTAGAAAGGTTATGTAACAATTGCTAACAATACTAAATAGTTTGAAATCACATCAATGTCAGACCAAAAACACTTGAGCAGCAACCAAGTTTGACCAACCCAAATATGTTTCCAGCAAGTGCAAGAAAGCAAGATTCAGCTGGAACATTGCGACCAAAATTTTTGGTTTTTGGTCAATTTTAACCCAATCCAGAAATGTTTTGTCCAAATTTGACCGCACAAGTCAATCAAAAAATAAACTTGCAAAGTTTGGTTTTCCTTTCATGGTTTTCGTATTCTATTGTGAGGCAAAGCTGAAGCAGAAAAGGCAGAATTGTCAAATGAATACTATTGCTTTGTAGCAAAAAATATAAATTTTCAATAGCATTGCTCAATAAAGAGTGGATTTCTCATTGAGTCTACTATTCTTTTAAAAAACTTAATTTTGAAAGCTTCACTGAAGCCTATGTTTGAGAGAAGAATTTGCGTGACTGTTTGCTACGGCATCACTCTGTTAGTTATGGAAAACTTTCATTGAACAGAAGTTTTGGAAGTTTTGGACTTGTTTTATCTTCTTTTCCAAGCTAAAACAATCGTTTCAAACCTACATTTTGAAATTAGCAGGTATTTCATTCTGCAAGTGAAATTATTTCAGTGCTATTTTAAAGTTAAAATTAACTCAAGTTTCACCTCAAGGGCGATACTTTTTTTTTTAATTTTGGAGCAATTATCTCTTCTGAAAAAGTTATAGGTGAAACCCAAACAAAAACATGACATATCTCGTAGAAAAAGGAACGCTCAGATTTGGCGTAAATTTCAATTTAGGGTGGAAACTAGACTTCAGCTATTGAAAGCTTAGGATATTTTATTTGGTTCAGATTTCCTGAAGCGAATCATACTTGGCGTTAAACCAATTAAACTTATGAGTAAATATTACTTTTTTCGTTTTTTACACCAAGTGGCATTAACACCGCCTGCGTCTTTGAGGCTCTCATAATCGAGCTGTCAAAATACATATTGAAAAAAAGTTGTAAAACTATTTTTCTAGGCTGTTCTTGTGTAGATCATTATCACAGCTTATTGTCAATTGTCAGTTTGTGGCAAATATTGGTTTTGAAACAGTAAAAAAGTGATATTTTCTAGCAAGATTGCATTTTGACTCTGATTTTAATTCAGTTCACACAATTGATCTCTAACTTGGTTCGACCATGATCTTCCATCTAGATTGCTGCCCCTCTGCAGCCCTCATAATTCTTCTGTCGGCCATCGGGACTGTTTGGCGAGTAATATTTCCTCATAACCGAATCAGAGCTTTCGTTTGAAGCCTTAGTTTAACTTACTCCGTCCATTTTTAGGCTCTTTTTCATCCCCCCCCCCCCACCTGCGATTTCTTACCATTAAATTTTCTTTCACGTTATATGATTGTTATCAAAATCGACACGCGATCTAGTTACGCTATGATAAACATTTTTAGTCTTCATATTTAAACTTGTAAACCCATTCCTTACACCATAAAATTGATAGGGGAAAAAGAACCATTTTTTGGCCTTTTCAATCAGAAGTTTTTCTGAAGACGTTTTCGGACCCACTGCAATTTGAATTACAATTCGCAGTATCACTGCATATTTTGTGGATACTTTTAAGAAACAATTAGGTAAACTTAACAAATTAAACATTTTTTTTTCACGTTTGAGTCAGCCGCTTGTACTCACATGAAACACATAAAAAACATCATGGATCAGCCCTGATATAATCAAATATTTTTTTTGTAAATAGGAATGAAGAGGCGGAGCCGTGTCGAGAAGGTAAGTTAATCAGAAACGATTTTTTTTGGTCTTGCTACTACTAAAAAGCAATGTTTCTCATGCATGTTTTAGAATGTACCGGAGGCTTTGAGAGAATTGAAGGTAATGTACCTCATTTTGTGCATAAACTGTGCTCAAGGTTGCTCAAATAGCCAAAAAGTGAGCAAACGTTGTCATTATTTTACTACATCCTTTTTATTACTGCTTACCCTATTTTTTTTGAAGGCGCCTAATTGTGAGGGGAAAATACGCCGCACAAACTCAAATATTGATGAAAAACTTAAAAAAAGTATGCCCATTTACGCAAAAAAACGGCTTGTTTTTCTCAATAACGATAAAAACAGTAAATCTATTTTGAACTGTTTACACAGAGGCGAAGCTGAGCTTCGCACCTCTTGCGATACACAATAAGGCTCCATCAATCAATAGATAAACTGTCATAAGCGAAAATGGAAAAACATGAATGAATTTTTTTTGTTGAAGAAACCGTAAGCTTAAACAACCGAAAAAAATTCTTGCTATTGTTATAGAAGTCAATTACCTTCAACACAAAAGAAGGATTTGGGCTTAACTCTATCCATTTTTTTCTGTTAATCGATAGATGAAAACAATAAGAAATTATTTCGGTCACAAAATTGAGATACGATAATTCCTAATGTTATTCAAAAACTGTTCATTAAAAATTGCAACTAAACAATCTGCGTAACCAATAAAAACAATCGGGGTTAAAAACGCTATCCGCTATAGTATAAAATGAAAATTACAAAAAGAATTCAAACACATGACTGCAAAAATTACTAACAATTGCCACAAAAAAGAACTAGCAGAAAACAAAAAGTACTAGCATAAAAAAACTCTAAAAGCCTATGAAAATGACGCAGTTACATCAAAATGCAATATCAGTTATGGCATTTATACGCAACGGCAAAAAACTAGATCACAACAAAAAATAACATTGAAAAACAAGAAAAATTTGTCAAAAATTTCAACCAGAAAGAACATCACGTCTAAATCTCGTGCAGAACTTGCCGCCATAGTCCTTTGAAGACCAAAACCCGAGTCAAATTTTCAAAAAAAAAATCGAAATCTATCATTTTTTGAAATTTGTTTGACAAATTGAAACTTAAATTGATTTCAAATAAAATTGTCTAAACTTAAAACACACCAAACTAATTGAAAGTAAAACTAGTTTTAGGCACTTTCGGAACAAAAAAAGATCAGAAACCATTCATACGAAAAAAACTGAAAATTAATTTGCAAAAAAATTTTCTAGCATAAAAAAATTTTAAAAAGTTTTATTTCTAAGAAAACATTTTGACGCCTTTAAAAACCAGAAAACTATGAATTATTTCTACCCTCATGAAAATGAAGAAAAAAAAGGATAAAAAATCTACCAAAAAAATAAAGAATTAATTACCGTCAAGTAAGCCGGCAAAAATTGGGTCGAAACCAAAAAATTGGGTCGAAAAAATCAACTTTCATCACTTTAGTCGTTGATGCAAAATTTGAAAAAAAACAGCTCATAGACGTGCATCTTGAGTAGAAATAGAGAATAAAGATACATTTGGGGATGACCAAATTTCAGTCATCATGTGGACAAAGCGGTTAACGGGAAAAAAGTCTATTAACCGATTGTGATACCGTTGGTTATCGGAAGAGTAAAAAGTGTTTAAAAAATTGCAGCAAAATATAGAAATGAAGGTTTTATGTCTATCTGCTGCTCTCAGGTCTGAAGCACTGCTACAAGTTTCTGCTGGATTTGGGCCCTGTCAGTCAGGACAAGGCGGTCACTGCCTGTGGAATTGAGAGGGGATCCACTTTGGTCACATTCGACAATGTAGGCGATGACGTAAGTCACTTTTAATGAGAGTCAAAAAATTAATCAGACACAGCAGCCCCGAAACATCTAAATATCGAGTTGAAATAGATAAACATTCCTAATCTAAATGACAATATTGAAAGTAAATAGACATTTACAAAACTTCGTTTGCACTAAAATGATATAATGTATATTGTTTTTCAAACTATTTTAGCAAACAATACGCGACCACTTCGTCGCCAAGTTTCGCGACGACATCGAAAGTAGCCCGGCATTTATCGATGCCTCTGGCTTCTGGACTGGCTACTTGCGGGATTACGGCAGCAGTGACTACCCCTTCGTTAATATGATATCCGGAGCCCTGATGAATATGTTAATGTTCAGGCCAGGGCAGCCCAATAACGACAGTTAGTCTGTGTTCTTTTTGTATCGCTCGCAAAAATTTTTTTTTCATAAATTGTTTTCAAAATCAAACTTTTTAAACAAACCAAATTTTTTTTTTGAACAAAAAGAATGATTTTTTATTTCCACTTCTACATTATATCTTGAGCTCTTTTTATATTTAAGAGGCGAATAGGAGCTTCGCGGTACTTGCAATAAATTACAAAATATTTAAGAAATACTTTAGAAAAAAAGCCATTATATCGAGAAAAAAAAATGAAAAATAAGCATCGAAAATTTGTTGTTTGTCTCGAATGCGATTCAGCTTGAGAAAAGTTGCTGATATATACAATTGACAATATCAAATTGAAATTGAAAAACAAAATTTTTGGACAATTAGCCGGCAACACCTAGGTAAAGGCTCGTTAGTTGAAAAAATGTATGTAAACAGAAACAGATTAAGCTAAAAAATATTGAAATTCCAAGTTTTAGGTCGCAAGGAAACACATACGCAATCATTGAAGTCTATTTTTGCGTCTCAAATAATATGAAACGACTAAACTAATCTAAGATAAGCCGATATTGCTTTTAAAAATTATAAGCGAAAAAAGAGGATATTGTACAAAGCTGGGAATGGCAAGTTTTTGATCATTTCTCTAGAGGTAAAAAAGTGATCACTTCTAGCTAAACTAGGTGATACCCAAAAAACACTTTTTAAGTCCGACCATTGATAATGGGAGGAACTTTGTATTCGTGTGTGCTTTAGTTGTTTCTTTTCGTTTTGTTTTCCCTCGCAAAATCAATTACTCCAAATAATCATCGAAATGAGTTGAAGCATTTATATCATGGGCTGATATAGTATTTTGACGCCCTTTCAGACGTGATTCGAACGACATTTAAAAACTTCCACAAAAACTCCTAGTCTAGAAAAACCGGTTTAAAATGTTTGATTTTTGGTCTAATTTTGAGCAGCAAGAAGTCTTACAATAGCTTATTTTAAAAACATAAAAGCTTACAAAAGTATAAATTAAACCATAAAACAGTTTGTTTAAAAAATTGTTTAATTCCAGTAAAGTTTGTTTATTTTTGAGTCCTCTAGTGCCTTTTTCATTTTTTATTTTGTTTATATTTTCAAGTCATTTTCAACAAAAATTTGCTTTCCATTGACCTATTTTAGTATGATTGTCAAGAAGGTTATTAGTTTTACTAGCTTTTCATTAAGATCCTTTTATCACACCACACAGAAAAACCGACACTAGTTTGAAAAAAAAATTAGTCTGGTCAGATCCTTTTGAGCTATTTGCACAGTAACCGGCTATCCTCGTTTTTTTGTTGTATGTTTTCCTTGCCAAATAAGGTGCCACGATAAATTATTGGGATGGATCGAGTGACATTTCAAATTAAGTCCCTTGCAGACGTGATTCGGAAGACATCAGAAAAAATTCAAAAATGGTCCAAATGTCGATATGCTGTTAGTTTAAAAATTCAGTCTAATTTTGAACAAGAGAAGCAATAAAAAACTTTTCATTGTAAAAATTGGACTGGAAAACTTGATTTTATTAAAAGAAAAACTAGTTTAAAGAGCTTTTTTAGCGCTTTTTGCGGCAAAAAGTTTCAACACGGAATCGAAATGAAGCATCACAATCTTTGCAATATAACAGTAATACAGCATGGCAAATTAGCCAACAAAAAATGAGACAAATCCGCAAAAAAAATTTAATTTTTTGAAACGTCCTCAATTTTCACATCGTTAATCTTTGTTTTGTCTTTAAAATTTTGTTTCTAAGGCAACTGTGCCAACCAAGAGAATTGAAGGCTAATTGAGCATCTTGATAAAACGTACAAGAGGTAATAAAGCGCATAATTCCAGAGCAGACACACTTTGAGCAAAAAAAAATTAATAAAAAAATCTTAAAGATTCAAAATATTAGATCACCTCCTTCTTTTGCTCACCAAACGACTCGAAATGAGGCCGATAAAGCAATTTAAAAAGAAACTGATACCTTCTGAGCCCAATGAAGATAAAAGGGAAAAACCTCTGAAATCGGAGTCGTTAAATTTACATCCAACATTTTAAAAAACTCAAATGGAACTAACATTCAAAATACAGACGTGCTACAGACGTGCACAAAATTTGTCTGTTAGTTGAAAAAATTACAGAATTTGATATGAACACCAATTCGAGTCATCGTTAAAACAATAGTATTTAGGGGGGAAATCCTAAGCTCTCGGTTAACGGAAATTAAAAATGAATAAATTATTGGGCAAAATAGCTAGAAAAAGGATTTGAAAATTTTTTTGTTTCCTGTTTTTAAAGACAGCTGTTGCCGATTCTGCTTATTTCACTGAATTTCTACGCGTTTTTGTACAGTTTTATCATCTTATTGCAAATATATTTTTTGTGTGTTTTTATGGTTCTGTTCGGAACCTTCTCTGCTTCTTGCACAGCAACCGGCAATCCTTGTTCCGATTTGATAATACCTTATAATCCCAAGTGTGATTACACTACATTGCTTATATCCTGTCGAGCGGTAGTAAATATAACTGTGTTGAGCCTCTTTTAGTTCAGATTGTGGCCTTGAAAATATGTTGAGTGTTTGGCCTTCATCTTTTCAGGTGATCGAGATCTCTGACGTGTGAAATACTTACTGTTGTTCATCTGTGGTTTCAAATTTGTGTTAACAAAAACAATGTGTTCATATATAGTTCTGGGGAAAAATGGAATGGAGGCATGTGTGAGCAGGAAGCAGATCCTTAACGAAGCGACCGGCAAGCACAACCACACTGGCCTGGACGACTTCACTTGTGCATATCCCAACTGGGCCATCTGCATGCGTGAGTTGAGTAGATAATGACTTCTCCTGTGTATATCCCAACTGGGCCATCTGCATGCGTGAGTTGAGTAGATAATGACTTCACTTGTGCATATCCCAACTGGGCCATCTGCATGCGTGAGTTGAGTAGATAATGACTTAACTTGTGTATATCCCAACTGGGCCATCTGCATGCGTGAGTTGAGTAGATAATGACTTCACATGTGCATATCCCAACTGGGCCATCTGCATGCGTGAGTTGAGTAGATAATGACTTAACTTGTGTATATCCCAACTGGGCCATCTGCATGCGTGAGTTGAGTAGATAATGACTTCAAATGTGCATATCCCAACTGGGCCATCTGCATGCGTGAGTTGAGTAGATAATGACTTCACATGTGCATATCCCAACTGGGCCATCTGCATGCGTGAGTTGAGTAGATAATGACTTCACATGTGCATATCCCAACTGGGCCATCTGCAGGCGTGAGTTGAGTAGATAATGATTTCACATGTGCATATCCCAACTGGGCCATCTGCATGCGTGAGTTGAGTAGATAATGACTTCACTTGTGCATATCCCAACTGGGCCATCTGCATGCGTGAGTTGAGTAGATAATGACTTCACATGTGCATATCCCAACTGGGCCATCTGCATGCGTGAGTTGAGTAGATAATGACTTCACATGTGCATATCCCAACTAGGCCATCTGCATGCGTGAGTTGAGTAGATAATGACTTCACTTGTGCATATCCCAACTGGGCCATCTGCATGCGTGAGTTGAGTAGATAATGACTTCACTTGTGCATATCCCAACTGGGCCATCTGCATGCGTGAGTTGAGTAGATAATGACTTCACATGTGCATATCCCAACTGGGCCATCTGCATGCGTGAGTTGAGTAGATAATGACTTCACTTGTGCATATCCCAACTGGGCCATCTGCATGCGTGAGTTGAGTAGATAATGACTTCACATGTGCATATCCCAACTGGGCCATCTGCATGCGTGAGTTGAGTAGATAATGACTTCACTTGTGCATATCCCAACTGGGCCATCTGCATGCGTGAGTTGAGTAGATAATGACTTCACATGTGCATATCCCAACTGGGCCATCTGCATGCGTGAGTTGAGTAGATAATGACTTCACTTGTGCATATCCCAACTGGGCCATCTGCATGCGTGAGTTGAGTAGATAATGACTTCACTTGTGCATATCCCAACTGGGCCATCTGCATGCGTGAGTTGAGTAGATAATGACTTCACATGTGCATATCCCAACTGGGCCATCTGCATGCGTGAGTTGAGTAGATAATGACTTCACATGTGCATATCCCAACTGGGCCATCTGCATGCGTGAGTTGAGTAGATAATGACTTCACTTGTGCATATCCCGACTGGGCCATCTGCATGCGTGAGTTGAGTAGATAATGACTTCACTTGTGCATATCCCAACTGGGCCATCTGCATGCGTGAGTTGAGTAGATAATGACTTCACATGTGCATATCCCAACTGGGCCATCTGCATGCGTGAGTTGAGTAGATAATGACTTCACTTGTGCATATCCCAACTGGGCCATCTGCATGCGTGAGTTGAGTAGATAATGACTTCACATGTGCATATCCCAACTGGGCCATCTGCATGCGTGAGTTGAGTAGATAATGACTTCACTTGTGCATATCCCAACTGGGCCATCTGCATGCGTGAGTTGAGTAGATAATGACTTCACATGTGCATATCCCAACTGGGCCATCTGCATGCGTGAGTTGAGTAGATAATGACTTCACTTGTGCATATCCCAACTGGGCCATCTGCATGCGTGAGTTGAGTAGATAATGACTTCACTTGTGCATATCCCAACTGGGCCCTCTGCATGCGTGAGTTGAGTAGATAATGACTTCACATGTGCATATCCCAACTGGGCCATCTGCATGCGTGAGTTGAGTAGATAATGACTTCACTTGTGCATATCCCAACTGGGCCATCTGCATGCGTGAGTTGAGTAGATAATGACTTCACTTGTGCATATCCCAACTGGGCCATCTGCATGCGTGAGTTGAGTAGATAATGACTTCACTTGTGCATATCCCAACTGGGCCATCTGCATGCGTGAGTTGAGTAGATAATGACTTCACATGTGCATATCCCAACTGGGCCATCTGCATGCGTGAGTTGAGTAGATAATGACTTCACTTGTGCATATCCCAACTGGGCTATCTGCATGCGTGAGTTGAGTAGATAATGACTTCACTTGTGCATATCCCAACTGGGCCATCTGCATGCGTGAGTTGAGTAGATAATGACTTCACTTGTGCATATCCCAACTGGGCCATCTGCATGCGTGAGTTGAGTAGATAATGACTTCACTTGTGCATATCCCAACTGGGCCATCTGCATGCGTGAGTTGAGTAGATAATGACTTCACTTGTGCATATCCCAACTGGGCCATCTGCATGCGTGAGTTGAGTAGATAATGACTTCACTTGTGCATATCCCAACTGGGCCATCTGCATGCGTGAGTTGAGTAGATAATGACTTCACTTGTGCATATCCCAACTGGGCCATCTGCATGCGTGAGTTGAGTAGATAATGACTTCACTTGTGCATATCCCAACTGGGCCATCTGCATGCGTGAGTTGAGTAGATAATGACTTCACTTGTGCATATCCCAAATGGGCCATCTGCATGCGTGAGTTGAGTAGATAATGACTTCACTTGTGCATATCCCAACTGGGCCATCTGCAGGCGTGAGTTGAGTAGATAATGACTTCACTTGTGCATATCCCAACTGGGCCATCTGCATGCGTGAGTTGAGTAGATAATGACTTCACTTGTGCATATCCCAACTGGGCCATCTGCATGCGTGAGTTGAGTAGATAATGACTTCACTTGTGCATATCCCAACTGGGCCATCTGCATGCGTGAGTTGAGTAGATAATGACTTCACTTGTGCATATCCCAACTGGGCCATCTGCATGCGTGAGTTGAGTAGATAATGACTTCACTTGTGCATATCCCAACTGGGCCATCTGCATGCGTGAGTTGAGTAGATAATGACTTCACTTGTGCATATCCCAACTGCGCCATCTGCATGCGTGAGTTGAGTAGATAATGACTTCACTTGTGCATATCCCAACTGGGCCATCTGCATGCGTGAGTTGAGTAGATAATGACTTCACTTGTGCATATCCCAACTGGGCCATCTGCATGCGTGAGTTGAGTAGATAATGACTTCACTTGTGCATATCCCAACTGGGCCATCTGCATGCGTGAGTTGAGTAGATAATGACTTCACTTGTGCATATCCCAACTGGGCCATCTGCATGCGTGAGTTGAGTAGATAATGACTTCACTTGTGCATATCCCAACTGGGCCATCTGCATGCGTGAGTTGAGTAGATAATGACTTCACTTGTGCATATCCCAACTGGGCCATCTGCATGCGTGAGTTGAGTAGATAATGACTTCACTTGTGCATATCCCAACTGGGCCATCTGCATGCGTGAGTTGAGTAGATAATGACTTCACTTGTGCATATCCCAACTGGGCCATCTGCATGCGTGAGTTGAGTAGATAATGACTTCACTTGTGCATATCCCAACTGGGCCATCTGCATGCGTGAGTTGAGTAGATAATGACTTCACTGGTGCATATCCCAACTGGGCCATCTGCATGCGTGAGTTGAGTAGATAATGACTTCACTTGTGCATATCCCAACTGGGCCATCTGCATGCGTGAGTTGAGTAGATAATGACTTCACTTGTGCATATCCCAACTGGGCCATCTGCATGCGTGAGTTGAGTAGATAATGACTTCACTTGTGCATATCCCAACTGGGCCATCTGCATGCGTGAGTTGAGTAGATAATGACTTCACTTGTGCATATCCCAACTGGGCCATCTGCATGCGTGAGTTGAGTAGATAATGACTTCACTTGTGCATATCCCAACTGGGCCATCTGCATGCGTGAGTTGAGTAGATAATGACTTAACTTGTGTATATCCAACTGGGCCATCTGCATGCGTGAGTTGAGTAGATAATGACTTCACTTGTGCATATCCCAACTGGGCCATCTGCATGCGTGAGTTGAGTAGATAATGACTTCACTTGTGCATATCCCAACTGGGCCATCTGCATGCGTGAGTTGAGTAGATAATGACTTCACTAGTGCATATCCCAACTGGGCCATCTGCATGCGTGAGTTGAGTAGATAATGACTTCACTTGTGCATATCCCAACTGGGCCATCTGCATGCGTGAGTTGAGTAGATAATGACTTCACTTGTGCATATCCCAACTGGGCCATCTGCATGCGTGAGTTGAGTAGATAATGACTTCACTTGTGCATATCCCAACTGGGCCATCTGCATGCGTGAGTTGAGTAGATAATGACTTCACTTGTGCATATCGCAACTGGGCCATCTGCATGCGTGAGTTGAGTAGATAATGACTTCACTTGTGCATATCCCAACTGGGCCATCTGCATGCGTGAGTTGAGTAGATAATGACTTCACTTGTGCATATCCCAACTGGGCCATCTGCATGCGTGAGTTGAGTAGATAATGACTTCAATTGTGCATATCCCAACTGGGCCATCTGCATGCGTGAGTTGAGTAGATAATGACTTCACTTGTGCATATCCCAACTGGGCCATCTGCATGCGTGAGTTGAGTAGATAATGACTTCACTTGTGTATATCCAACTGGGCCATCTGCATGCGTGAGTTGAGTAGATAATGACTTCACTTGTGCATATCCCAACTGGGCCATCTGCATGCGTGAGTTGAGTAGATAATGACTTCACTTGTGCATATCCCAACTGGGCCATCTGCATGCGTGAGTTGAGTAGATAATGACTTCACTTGTGCATATCCCAACTGGGCCATCTGCATGCGTGAGTTGAGTAGATAATGACTTCACTTGTGCATATCCCAACTGGGCCATCTGCATGCGTGAGTTGAGTAGATAATGACTTCACTTGTGCATATCCCAACTGGGCCATCTGCATGCGTGAGTTGAGTAGA